TACTACGACTACTACGACTACTACGACTACTACGACTACTACGACTACTACTACTACTAGTTTAGTAATACTACTAGTTTACTACTGCTACTAGTTTACTAGCACTACTAGTTTACTACTACTACTACTAATGCTGCTACTACTACTACTACTACTACTACTACTACTACTACTAATACGACTACTACGACTACTACGACTACTAATACGACTACTACGACTACTACGACTACTACTACTACTACTACTACTACTACTACTACTACTACTACTACTACTAGTTTACTACTACTAGTAGTTTACTACTGCTACTAGTTTACTGGTACTACTAGTTTACTACTACTACTACTACTACTGCTGCTACTACGGCTACTACTACAAATACGACTACTACGACTACGACTACGACTACGACTACGTCTACGACTACGACTACGACTACGACTACGACTACGACTACGACTAAGACTACGACTACGACTACGACTACGACTACGACTACGACTACGACTACGACTACGACTACGACTACGACTACGACTACTACTACTACTACTACTACTACTACTACTACTACTACTACTACTACTACTACTACTACTACTACCGCTACTGCTACAACTACGACGATGGGGAGGAGGAGGAGGAGGACGGCGTTTACCGCTCCTACTCATTTTGCTTTCCTGGAGGCTCCAACTCCTAGGTCGGGTCGCACTGGGATAATTTTGCATTCATTCACCAGCGCGATGATATGACATGTGCGTGACGTGGCGTGTCATCTCTGCTGATTTCCGCCGTGCCCTCCAGGGGCCTCTTTCCCGGCCATTGGCTATCGGCACCAACACGCGAGCGGCGGCCAACGCAGAAAACTGCAGACCTGAAACTTCGAACTGCCGCCACCTCCACGGATAGAAGAAACAAAAAAGTGACAATCACGACCTAAACAGTCGTGTGCGTACGGTGATCCGCTTCCCCTCATGGGGGCTATAGCCGCACCCATCGATGAGCCAAGGCCGGCCGAGTAAACGTCACCACATTCAGGGGGGAGGAAGAGGAAGAGGAGGAGGAGGAGGACAGGAAGGAGGACGAAGGAAGAGAGAGCAGCCGGCCAGTCAGCTAGAGTCTCGAGACCCTCCCAGCTCAGCGGAGCGAGAATCCCGCCCGCTGCACTTCACAAGTGGACTGCGAGAGGTGGCTGACGCAAACGGTCTCTCATTGTTCCAACCCGGGGCAACAGCCATGCATCCGCCCCCAGCACTCGGCGTCCAGTCGTGGCTCATGTCCCCCAGGGCCCAAACAGCCGCAAAACATAAGACCCACATTAAAAACAATGCGAACACTAGAGGAGCCGAAACTGCAAAGCTACAACACCCGTGCAAAGCAAGAGAGAGGAGGAGAAGGGGGAAGAGGGAGGGGGGGAGGGGGGACCAGTTCAACAGTTCAAGTACTAAATAATGTGTTGTCTTGATACGGTGCGGTGCTGGGCACCCTGAGGCGCTGGTGGTCGGCCGAAGGCCAGAAAGACGAGCGAACCGACCCAGCCAACTCCCCAAGTCTGCGCCCCAGCGCCGACCGAGGCCCTCCAGACCCTCGGGGACGGCCTCCAACCACCCAGCCCAGAGCAAACACCCTGCAACAATGGGACACTTCACCAATGCATCAAACCATGCAATGAACAATGATAATAATAATGATAATAATAATAATGATAATAATGATACTAATAATAATACTGATAAGAATAAGAACAATAAGAATAATAAGAATAATAATAATAAGAATAATAAGAATAATAAGAATAATAATAAAACGACCCGTGCAACAAGGCGTGCACCCGCGGGGAAGAGCGGGGAGGGGAGGAAGGAATGACCAGGCCCAGGCCGCCGCCGCGCAGGCGCACCAGAAGCTCCTGGCAGGCGACCCGCTCCATCGAATTTATGGTATGCAAGCCAATGCCGCTGAACTCCGACTGGCCGAATTCGGGGGGTGAGCGAGGACGAGACAGGCGGAGGAGCCGGAAAGCAGGCCAACCCCAGCAGGGTTAGCCCTCTGCCTCCAAATTGGAAGCATGCGCAACCAAACCGATGCGCCCCCCCATCATTCCTGTCAACAACAAATTTAAAGTACATGTGGGGGCAAAGTCTTGAGTCATGTCCGTGAGGCCCGCGAGCATCTTGTATTTATTGTTTTGTTGACAGGTATGGCGGGGGTGTCAGCTTATTGCCTGCTGTCCGCAGGGCCACCATCCTGTGATAACAAAATATAGTATGCACCTCGCGGCTAAATCTGGATCATGCGCGGCCACCCCGCGATCACTGTCAAATGGTTTTGGCAAGGACGGCGGGGGTGGTGGCATACGGCCTGCTGTGCGCAGGCCCACCAGGCACAATGCGTATGAGTTGTGAAATGCTCAATTCTCTAGCTTTCTGGGTGTCCGAGACCGCCAAGGAGGCCCGAACATCGCCCCAAAACTACCCGAAAGGGCTTCCAGGCAGTCCAAGAGGGCCCCAAGACGGCCCAACACGGCCCCAAAATGGCCCGACGAGAGCCCCATGGCAGCCCAAGATGGTCCCGTAATACTCCTCGAAGCGTTCCAAATCGTGACCCAGTCGTTCAGGGAGACCGCGGTTGGAAGCAGGGTGGCGCGAGGAAGCCCCCAGAGGCCCAGAGAAGGCGCCCAGGAGACCTCCAGAAGGCCCCAAGAAGCCCATTCAAAAATCGTGAGGCCTCCAGAAGGCTCTCCAAGGAAGAGCCTCCGCAGAAATAGCTGAAGATGGAGAAGAATTCGCAGGGTAGGGCGAGAATGACGAAGAGGAATCATGACGACATGATAATGAATAACAATATCATTTATCTGATCGACGATGTCTGGAAAGACAACACTGAGGTATCGCTAAAGTTTGAGATTACCTTCTGGCCCTTCCGCCAGCAAGCCAAACTTTAAGGACCAAGGTGAACGGCGCGAAGCGCCAAGGCAGCCTTATAGATGTCTACATTTCTGTACACATACATGACGGGCCAAGGGGGCCCCAACACGTGCCCAAGAGGCACCCAAGACAGTCCGACAGCGGTCCAAGACGCCCAAGATGGCCCCAAGACGGCCCAAGGGGCCCTTAAAGGCATACAAAAATGGCTCGGAGAGGCGCCCCAAAGGGCCCCGAGATGCCACAATGATTAATTCCCCTTATAGGTGTTTGAAAGATTTTAGTGATCTCACCGTTTCTGGCTTTCGACGCTCCAAGACCACCCAAAAGGCCCCAAAGATCGCCCGAAGAAGGCCCCACAGGCCCCAACGAGCGCACCCAGACGGCCCAATATGGCACCACGACAGCCCAATAGAACTCCAAGAGCGGCCCAAGAGAGGCCTCAGAGGGGGGAACACCGACCGACATTTTGAGCCATTTGCCCCAAGATGGCCCCCGAGACCGCCAGCAGGCCCCAAGAGGCACCCCGCAAGCTCCAGGAGGTCCCCCAAAGGCCCAAATCATGCCCCGAGAGACCCAAAGAGACCCCGAGTCCCCCTAAGACACCCCAAAGTCGAATCCAAAGAAATCCCCGTGGGGTCTCGGCCAAGCCCGCCAGCCACCCTGAAAGCTCCCCCGAATTTCCCCCTCGTTGGTCAAAACGCCTCCAGCACGGCTAAGATGGCCGAAACATGCGACCAAGACGTCTCCAAGACCGCCAAGATGGTCCAAGAGAGCCCAAGACGAACCAAGAAACGCCCAAAATGCCAATAAGACGGCCCAAGAGGCCTCCAAGAGGTCCTCCAGAGAGGTTTGACGATGCCCAAATCAGGGCTTACCCTTAGGGTTCGAATGACTTGGGCATGTGCTCCAAAACGGCCTTCCGATCAAGGCCCCCAAGAGGCCGAAGGAGGCCCACAGGAGGCGTCCAAGAGGCCCCAAGGAAGCTCCCAGGAGGCCCCAAGAAGCGCCCAAGAGGTCCCCTCATCCTTCTCCTCATCCCCCCCCCTTCCCTCCCTCTCCTCATCCTCCTCTTCCTCCCACGCGCCCCTGCCGGCTTCGGCCGGGGGGCCCTGGGCGTGTGCGGCCGGGGCGGGGCGCGGGGCACATGACCGACGAACAACGGGTCTTACGCGAGATGACATGGCGACAATGCGCGGTGTCTGACGCGGGCCGCCAGCGCGGCACGGTAATTACGTTGGAAACGAGGCGCTGACGCGCGACCTTTCGCGGGCAGCGTACGCGCCGATGTCGGTGAAGACGGACCCATTCTCCTCCGTCGCTAGCACAGATGCCGCTCGCAATCTGCACCTTTTCGTGCTGATCTGCGGCGAACTGGATCCAGCAGGCGGTCGGGGGAACGGCCGGCCGGACGAGAGCGAACGTTCAGGAGAGGCTAAGCCCACAAAGGGTAAGTCCATACGGTGTGCTCGGTCTCCGTCTGGACTTCGCCTCTCCTGAGAACCAGGCAACGCCGGGTGCTCTCGAGGAGGGCCGGTGCGCCCGGCCACGCGAGGGCCGACCGCTGGAAGGACACAAGGCCGCACGTGCGCCGGGCCCCACGCCGAGGCCGGCCAAGCTCGTGCCCATCCAGCACCATGTGAGCGACGATCGAAAACGAGCCGTGCGCGAGATGGCACAGCGACCTTACGCGGTGGCTGACGCGGGCCGCCAGCGCGGCACGCCGCATTGGCAACGAGGGCGCGCGCTTACGCGCGACCTTACGCGGGCAGCTGATGGGCCAATGTCGGTGAAGACGACCCCGCTTTTTCTGCGTCGCTCATTTGGCGAAAGGGGACGACAAGGGGGGGCACTGATCTGGAATTGCCGATGCATCGCTGACTGATCGGCCACAGGCCCCCGATGGGAAAACGGCACCTTGCTGTGCAGGAAAAGGGCACCGAGGCCCCAAGTGGCGAGCAATGGGCGATCGAGGGTCGATGCAGCCCCGCCCCCCCCCCTCGCGCCAGCCCCCCCCCAACGTTGTTTTTCCCAGTGGGCCCCCCCGTGGACCCCCCGACCCACCCCGGGGCGGTCCTCCCACACGTTCTGGTGCGCGGCCCTCGCGGCCTCCTCGGGGTCACGGGGCGGGCCCCGCGGGCCCGTGCGGCCCGGGCGAGGTTGGCCTGGCGGAGAAGGGGAGGCCAAGAGAGGGGAGAGGCGGCAGGTGGACGACGACTGCGACGTGGAAGAGGAGGTTAGGAGGGGGGAGGACGACGGGGGGGGAGGGGTGGGAGGAAGAGGAAGAGGAAGAGGCAAGGGGACAAGCAGAGACAATAGGAGAGGCCAATGTGGGGGGAGGGGAAGAGGGGGGCGCGAGCCGACCGCGAGAGGCCGACACTCCTGCGCAGATATGGGCGCATTGGCACGAAGCACGGCGCACCCTCAGAAATCTCAGAAACAGGGCACCGGCCCTCGCGGTCAAGGGGGGCCAGGGGGACTTCGAGAAGAGATTGGGGGGACAGGAGAAGAGAATGTGGGTGGCAGGGGAAGGAGAGGAGGGGAATGAGAGAAAAGGTGGAATGTGAAACATGGGGAGAGCATGATCCTTTTTCTCAGATTCACCGCCCTCTTCCTCTTGTATCTCCTGCCCTGGCACCCTGAAGAGCCCAGCAGTCTGAGGCCGGTGTCCCCCCCGCATGCAGTACCGGTCGCTGTGCGTACGCAATGTCGCCTTTTGGCGACATTCGCGTGCAATGGTATTCGCTGGCCATGCGTTTGTTACCGATGTAATGGCACAAACCATTGGACACGACCTGTCATGCTCGCAACTGGTGATAGTAGCATTCCAGCCTGATATGGCAAATGTGGGCATGAGGCCCCTTCCCTCGTAATGCCTCAAAGACGGCACCCACGAGCTCGACCATCGCATGCCGTCATCATCCTGCTGCTCCTTCACCCCCCTCTACCCCTCTATTCTCTGCCTCCCTCGCCAGCCTTGCTCACATCGGTAGCGGCGGCCTTGGGGACAGAACCCCCTTCATGCCACGGGCTGGTCCCGCCCACGCTGCTGCTCCCGTTCCCGCTGCTCCCGGCCCAGTCCCTCCTCCGCCGCGTGCTCCGCCGCCTCCCCTGCTTCCTCCCCCTCCGACTGTCTTTCCTGCCGCCTCTCATGACCTCGTCCTGATGCCCCCGCCGGACCAGGGCCGATTACGCCCCTGGGGCGGGCAACTTCTGTGCCGGCCTACCCGGATCAAGGAGGAGGAGGAGGAGGAGGAGAAACAAGACACCGACATCCAACGACGTGGCCCTCGCCCTTTGGCCCCACCGCCAACCCAATCGGCGAACACCAATCGGGCGCAACCCTGTATCAACCGTGAAGACCAACCACTCTAAGTCAGCGGATGCCCCACAGGTTGCGACCCATAGCCTCAATTGCCAGGGTTCCATGGCATCGGGCGCATGACTCTCTGGGGGCCAGGGAACGCCAAGACGGGTCGAGAGAGTGTTAGGCCACAGACGGTTCAAGGGGCTCCCGAGTCGGCCCAAGAGCGCCCCAAGACGCCCATCCATGCCCTCCAAACGGCCCAAGAGGTCGCCAAGACGCCGGCAAAGTCCCCAAGATGTGTTTGACAGATTTTGGCGTCTACCCACGGTCTTCGCCTGCAAGTTCCTGCTCAGCAGGCCCAGGAGCGAGGCATGACGTAAGAAATTGGCAGCCAGGAATCGTTACTGTCTCATCCAAGACTGTAGATGTACTCGGGCTTCCGAGCTTCAGGCACCCAAAAAAACCCACGATGCCCCCGAGATCGCCCCAAGGCGGCCCCCGAGAGAGCCCCAAGCCCAAAGACGGCCCAACAAAAGCCCCAAGACGGGAAGCCCAGGCTACGCACCGGCCTTGGCCCTAAGAGGCCACCCCAAGATGCCCCAAAAAGGCCCCAGGAGCCGCCCTCGAGAGGCCTCCGGAAGGCGCCCGAGAGGCATCCCAAGAGACCCTCTCCGAGAGACATCCGTAAGGCAGTCGACCCACAACCCAGGCACCCTTGCGAGATGGGCAGAAAGCCACTAGATCCGCTGCCCCGTGTTACTAAAGGCTGTCAGCGTGCATTCACTGTTTGAGCCCTTCCTGAAAATTGTCAGTTCGGCAGCCGACCCACCGGAAAATAAATCCGCCGACCCCTTGTGGGTCTCTAGGCGTGTGAGATGGTTCCCCCCCCACAACCCCCCCCAAGGGACCCCAAACCGGAGATTTCCCCCCCCCCCCCCCCCCCCCTCCCCCCGGCCCCGGGGCACCCATGCCCGAACGCGTCATGGGGGAGCAGAGGGCCCCACAACGGGCCACAAGCGCACCAACGGGCTCCCGAGACGGTCCAAGAAGGCGCCGAGTCGCCGAGAGATCGAGCCAAGACGCCCAAGATGGCATCCAGACGATCTCAGATGCCTCCAAACGCTCCCAGACGCGCCCACAAGGCTGTAATATGCGACCAAGATGCGCCCCAAGAGGTCCCCAACAAGCAGAACTCATCAATTCCCTCTGGGGAAAACGCACCTTTTTGATATATGCGGTCTTTGAGCTTTCACGGCGGCGAAAACGGCTCCAGAAGCTCACAAGACCGCCCCAAGACGGCCCAAGAAGCGGCCAAGAGGCCCCCACAAAGGCCCAAGAGGGCGCCAACACAGCCCAAGAAACGCTCAAGACGGCACAAAAGGGCCCCAAGACAACCCCAAGAGGGGGACCACAAGCCGAAAATCCAAGCCATTCGCCCCGACTGTGTCCCAGGAGGCTCCAAGAAGCCCCCGAAAGGCCCCCGAGAGAATCCCAAAAGGCCCACAGAGGCCCCCAAGAGGCACCCAAGAGGCGCCCACAAGGCTCCAAGAGGCCCCCAAAAAGTCCCAAAGAGGCCCCCAAAGATCCCCAAAGAACTTCCAAAATGCTTCGGAATTGCCTCCGCGAGTCTCGCGAAAAGCCATACCCCCTTCCGCCTCTCGCCCATACCCCCTCCTCCTCCTCCTCCTCCTCCTCCTCCTCATCCTCCTCCGCTTTTACATTATTTGCGTTCCTCTGTGCGTCGGCTTCGTCCTCCCACTCGCTCGGACTCCCTGCTCCTGCTCTACTGGTCATGGCACGGGCGCAGTACTGGTATCATTTGCATGCCTTGCATTTCAAGGTGCCCTTCTTCTCGTCACGCGCGACATTGCTCGCGCCCACGGAGAAAGCCGATTTCGGCAATTTCCTCTGGCACCTGCCACTGCGCTGAAAAGCCTGCCAACTGCGCGACGCGAGCCCGTCGGCAATGCATTCTGCGCGCACAACTTTACTCTTCCTCGTGAAGTGATTGCACTCCTGTTGGGCGCTTATGTGCTCCTGCCGAGCGAACCCTTTCTTGCGCGTCGCGCACGTGAGGTCTCTCTTCGACCGTTTCGCCGCATCCGACACCTCCTTCGCCGTCCTGCCGCGTTTGCTACAGTCGCCGCAAACCACTCGCCACCCCCCTCCTCCTATGAGCCACCACCTGCCTGCTATTCAAATGGCCTGTCACCGAAAAACGCACCCCGCATCATGGCGCGCAACACGTCAGCGGCTTCGCCTCCGCCTCTGCTTTACGCTTCCTATTATTCGACTCGCGCGTCGCCTTGTCACGTTCCTCCGCGCATGTCCTACACAGCCTCACCCCCGCTGCATGGCGCTTCTTCTGTGCATCCGACATGTCCGCCTTCTCGTCGCACAGCGACAGGCACTTCTCGTTCGAACGTCGCACAGTGCCGACGCTGTCGCTCCACTTCGCGCTGCCGCTCCGCGAGTTCTTCTTCGCTTTGACATGGCTGCGCCTCGCGCAATACTTTGTTCGAATCCTTCTCGCCCCCCCGTCGCCGGCCGCTGCGCCCGCGCCCCGACCGCCACCGTGCCGCGCCGCATCTTCCCCCGCCGCTCTCGTTGCCCACCCCTTGCGCGTTGTGCGCCATGTTCCGTCGGCATTCTGTATATCTTCCGTGCGTTCTTTGTGGGGCGCCGGCCTTTCCCCCCTCTGGAATCCGTACTTCGTGGACGCCTCTACAAGCAACCTCCGGCGGCAGCGCTCGCGCTGGTCTCGTGGCATTAGTTTCGCCCCCCATTCATCCCAATCCACGCGCTCCCCTCGTAGCACCTGCAACAGTTTTCTCGCGCCCGCCATCTCACCTGCGCTGCGCGGCTTCCTATCCAAAGGCCGGGGGATCAGCTGATTCTCTCGCCTGCGCACGCGCGCGAAGGCAACGCCACTTGACATCCAACTCACGCCGCGCCCTCTTTCCAGGTCCGCTATCACTGCCCCCATGGCCCGGCCCTGCGCTGAAAGCGCCGTCGCTGCCAACGACGGGTTAACGGTTATCATGAACTGCGCGCTTGACACTCAATACTGGATGCTTCCGATACCCGCCCAGGAACCATTGCCGCCCTTTCGATGGGAAGATCGGATGCAGCCCCGGACCCTACCCTGGCAGGCGCCACTCCTTCGCATGGAAGTCCAGCACAATCACTCTCGGTAGATGCAACAACACTTCCTCGTCTTCATCTCCAACGACCTCATCCTCGTGCAACGCCCGTCCATGGATCGTCGCTGTGCGCCCCCGCAGAAGATGCTTCGTTGACAGACCCAAGTGATCCCCCAACGCCACGGGCATCCCCTTGTCCAGCGGCAGCCACCCGGGCAAGCTTGCGCACTCCTTCTCGTGGTACCCCAGCCAACGTACCTTATCCTACACCGTGTACGGCCGCCTCTTTTCCCCCCCATGGCACGGGCGGTCCCTGGCTGCGACCCAGAGCAGCTGTTCTCTTCGCTCCTTGGCCCACTGCACAGCTCTCTGCTTCCCGACGTGGCAACGAATGTCCTGATTCGCATAAGTGGCGACGGCGTCAATGGATTTTTCCTCTCGAAACCGACCGTCTCCTGGCGACGTCGCGACGAGCTTCCTCTTCTCCCGCTCAACTTTGCAAGCCTCGCACTCTAGCTCGTTTTGCTTCGCAATTGCCTCTTTGTTTCCGAGACAACGCGCGCTCCCGCACAACGGTGCACCGTTCACCCACGACCCCGGAACATCCGGGCTTGCCATGCAAAAAACTGCGCGCGCGCTCAGACAACATTCCTCTGCGAAGC